AAGTCTCAGTCACTCGGCAAAGTCCAGTTTTGCAGTGGTGAACCCAGGCAATCATGTTGGATGGGCTACAGGGCTCGGCTCCGGACGGGCAAAGATTTCATCGTCCCTGCTTGATGACACCGTTTCCTCGTGACGGATCGCGCGAGGCCGACTTTTGCCTTTTGGTTGCTCAAACTCGCATGAGGGCCCAGCCGAAAGCCAGCAGAGCTTCACAGCCTTTTTGTTTCCTCTTTGGCTTGGGCCTCGCGGTGGCCGAGTGTCGGCCCCGTGAGGGACAGGACAGCTCACGCTGGAACTTGACACCACGCTGTTTCCTTCGCTCGTATGGCTAGCTTTGCCTAGTTCTGTTCGTTCCCGCTGTCATTTATCTATCCTCTCCATGTATCTACATACTACTCTTTTCGACATCTTCTAGGTTGGCTGTTGTATTGTAGTTCGGTGGAGTATACTCCATCGGTCCCCAAAAAAGAACGCAACTATAGCATTCATGTAGGTCAAATTTGCTAAAGTTTGGTCGGGCAAACTAGTCGTAAGTTATGTAATAAGTTTTGTAATTAGTCTATATTTAATACTCTATATATGTCTAAATATTCGATGTGACAGGAAATTTTAGGAGCGTACGTAGAAATAAACAAGGCCCAAAATGTAAGGAAAGCCTAGCCATGTTTCTGGCCGCGTTGGGCCACACCGTCTACCAGCTCAGTCGTCACCCCTGAGCTAAGCTGCGCCACATGGTTGGCCAGGCCTGTAGAATGACCAGCATACCGGTCGTGGTCTCGTCTGAGTCATGACTCACGAGCATGCGAGAGTGGGACACCAGGACCCGATCATCACAGAGAGAGTGAATGTGATAAAGACACGACAGTGAGATCACGGACGGTTTTATTTGAGCAGCAACGACGGTGAACAGAAGAAAGCGACAGCAAGCACTCATGGAGTCATGGGCCGCATGCTGCATGGACATCAGCACATGACTCGACCGCTCAAGTCACCGTCGCCGGTGGCTTTGGTTGGGGCCACGACCACGACCGCACTTACTGCTTATTCAGAATTATATATAAATAATTGTCTGATGCACACGGCCCAATAATCTTACTGCTGCACACAATGCGTTGCCGTACGCGCGCGTTTAGTTTAAAAAAGTTTTTCAAAAAACTGCTAAAGTGACCATCATATCAAATCTTTTGCGATCTAAACATGAAGTATTAAATGTACACGACCAAAAATCTTACTGCTGCACACAATGCGTTGTCATAAGCGCAAGTTTAGTTCAAAAAAGTTTTCCCAACAAGTGCTACAGTGCTATCATATTAAATCTTACGATACGTCGTGGGCGAAAATATGAAAAAAACTAATTGCACAATTTGGTTGCCAAATAAAAATAAAATGCTACAGTAGCCAAATTCAAACTTTCCCAACTAAACACACGGGCTACAGTATCCGTGCGCTCGGAGCACTGCACCATCTGGCATCTGCGGCACAGGCTCAAGGCTGGCTACCTGCGGTTGTTGGTCCACGGCCGCCGTTGTTGGTCTTTTAAGTAACCGTACGTATAATTGGGAGTATGGAGCTGTGATCATTGTACTGGATTACCTAGCACTGTAATAGACTTTCAATGAACCAGTTCCATGGCGCAACCACCACCTAGCGGGACTGCCTGTCAAACCATAGGCGCCTTACCGCCCCTTTTTTTTAATCAGAAAGAAGGGAACCGGGGGATAAAAGACAAAGAAAGAGATCAGGTTATTTATAATCGGAGAAAAGAAAGGGGCGTGATTGATGTGTCACTGGAAACCGTAGGAAGGGGAGACGACCGGCCTCGTTCACATCTAAAATCGTGTTTAGTTGCAAAAAAAAGTTCTAAAAAAGTCCCTCCTTCACCGGAAAAAATCTTGCGACACCTCTCGAAAGGATTAAATGTGTGATGCAAAAAAAGGTTGCCTAAGATCGGCAAGGCCACTTAGAAATCGCGAGACGAGTAGCAAGAGCCTAAAAAGTCTAGATTGAAAACTATTTGCCAAATAAAAAGAAAGATTGCAAGTTGGATTCCCAAATTTCAACTTTCATCAAACTAAATACAAAGATAAAAAATCATCCTAGTAGAAAACAATCCAGATCATAATCTCTCCGTTTCTTCACCGTGAAATAGATCCAACACCACTTGAAAAGGATCCATCAGGTGATGCACCCATAAGGTTGCCTAAGATCGGCAAGGCCACTTAGAATGATTGAAAAAGTAGGGTAAAAGGTGTAATAGATGTAAAAAGACGATTGGAAGTTGGATTCCTCGATTGGTCATGATCATCTGATATATATAGGGAGGTGGTCTTATCCTAGTAGAAAACAAGTCCAAGCATAATCTCCATGTTTCCTACGTGAAATAGATCCAAAACTGATTTGAAAAGTATTCGGTTCGGACTTAGCCTGGCGGCTGGGTTCCAAATCAGTCTTATAATCCGTGTTCAGTCAGGGTTCGAGCAAAACAGGAAATACCAGTCTGGCAGCTTTCAGCAGAACAACGTGTCGGTTCCTCTTTTTTCAACAAAGCTAACGGAGCCGAAAACCGCCCTAGCCAGGTCCCAAATCGGCCTGGTGGGTTTTCTCAAGCCCCAGAGGCCGACTTCAGCAGCGCACACAGGAAACCGGCCTGGCTAGGTCCCAAACCAGCCAGGCCGGTTCAGTCAGGGTCCGAGCAGCAGGAAATACCAGTCTGGCAGCTTTGGCAGACTAGGTGTCGGTTCCTCTTCTTTTCACCTCCAAGCCCCAAATGTGATGCTCCAAAATATATTCAATGATCGTCTTAGTGCCAAAAACATTGTTAAAAATGTCTTTTACTGTCGCCAGTAAGTGGTCATTATTGGCAACGGATCTGGACCCGTCGCCAATGACTATGCCATTAGCGATGTAAAAATTGCAACAGACGTTAAATCCGTCTCTATTGAGAGTTAACGGCCGTCGCTAAAGACTCATTCTGTAGTAGTGAAAGTGGGCCCCTTGGAAACAATTTTCACAGGCGGTTGAGTTAAGCACCCACCGCCCGAGCCAGGTCGCCGCCCGCCCTCCTCCGCCACGGCCCCATGAGCACCTGCCGCCCGCCCGCCCGCACCAGACCACCGCCTCCACCGACCCTCACTGCCGGCCAAGGCACCACCAGCCCTAGACGCGTCGGCGCTCGCCTCTGCCCCCGCGCGCGCATGCGTGTGTGAGGGAGAGTGAGAGGCTGATAGGTGGGTCTGTGGTCGGTGACAAGAGGGGAGAAAAAGTAGGGGCTTTCAAGGATAATTTTTTTATTTTTAACACTTTTTATAAACTAATTTTAAATCTAACACTGTTTGTTTTCTTTTCAAAATTAAACTTTTGGCCGCGCCTATTGCCATGGCGCGTCGAAACGCCTGTGCCGCGCCATGCATGGTGGCGCGGCGGGAGGATGACGTGGCGAAGACCGGAGGCTGCTGACCGGTGACGTGGCGAAGTGCGCGCGCCATCGATCTTAAGCGCGCAGCAGATGATGCGCCTGATGGTGTGGCGCGAGCGAAATAAAAAAAACCGGGCGATCCCTTTCCCGCGCTGCCGCGCCCGCCCGCCGCTTTTTCGCCAGCGCCTCCGCGCCTTGCCCGCCGCGCCTGCACGCGAAGCGCTTGCCCACGCTCTGCTGTCGCCGTGGCGCCGCGCGCGCCGCCGCCATGCCGCCGCGCGCGCGCCCCACTCCCGCTCCCCCCTTGCATGCTTGCCGCGCCCCCCCTCCGGCCGCCCGCCGCGGCCTCCGACCACCGCCATGCCCGCCACCGCTCTCACTGCAGCGCCTGCGACTGCCGCCGTCGTGAGGACGACGCACTGCTGCCGTGAGGTACTCCCCTAGTGAGTCTAGTTATACATTAGTTGTTGTAGTTAGCCTTGTATAGATGTTAATATTAGATTAGTTAGTATATTTATAATTAGAATAGGTATTAATATTACTATGGACATTATGTACGACGATTTCGACGAATTGATGAAGTTTCTTGAAATGCTTTTGTAGATGGATTGTTGTATTAGAGGTTTATACGGATGAAGTGTTAGGAGAGAAGATGATATGTTACAGCTTGACGCGGTGGGCGCGGCGGGCGCGGCAGGCGGGACTGGAACGCGGGCCTTTTATCCGGCTTTGCCGCGCCACCAATCAGGGCGCGTCACTGCCGTGCCAAGATCGGTGGCGCGGCAGACCCTGCCACGTCACCGGTCAGCAGCCCCCGTCTTCGTCACGTCATCCTCCCGCCGCGCCACCATGCATGGCGTGGCACGGGCGTTTTGTCGCGCCATGGCAATAAGCGCGGCCAAAAGTGTTAATTTTGAAGAAAAAAAAACAATGTTAAATTTAAAATTAGTTTAAAAAAATGTTAAAAATAAAAAAAATCCTCAAGGAGGTGCTACTGAAGCTGAAGCCACGATTTGATAGCCCAAGAGTTAGGGCTGGGCCCTATTCAGCAAGTAAGGACCCTATTTTAGGGGCTATGGCTGGAAATGCTCTTACAAATGAGAAGGTACGTGCTTGTCAGTTGTTGTTGTTGTTTTCCCGTCTCTTATTATTTGGATCGATGAGTTTTGAGGCCCAATAGGCAAAGGGCAAGTATGAGTGCCTCTTACGCGTTATACACACTAGGAAAATCTTTGGAACAACAGCTCCGCCTCTGTTGCAGGATGCGGCGGTTGGCTTGCTCACAACAGGTTTCAGGAAGCAATCACGTAGAGCACGAGATTAGCTCATTCTCAAGTACAGGTAAAATTAAAAAAAGGCGATTAATAACTCAAGTGAGCTACTATTATTCGTTCTTTCCCATTAAAGGAACATGCAACCGGCCAGGCCATGATCGTCTGGCACTAAGCCACTGAAGGCGTACAGTTTACTACTTAATTATTTTGTGAAACTGACTGACACAGCTGGGCCTGGCCAGCAAATGATAGATCATAGAATCCAGAACACATATTTTGTGGCTAGTACGTGCTGTTGTTTTATTTTGTAGCTATGGATACAGCTCGATGAGTGACAGAAACCCCAGGACTGGCCTCGTCTTATGGTGCCTGAACCCCGCGGCCATGAATATATTGCGCCACTCGTGCTCGTCGCGCTCCCTGCCCGGTGTCGTCACCATCATGTTCAGATCGAACGTGACCTGGGCTTGGAACATTATGTCATTGGCAGGAGACCCGACGACTGTGTCTATGATGATCACTTTCCCTCCTGATGGTTTCTCCGAAAGAATAGCCTTCTTGCATTGAGTTAGGATCTTCACGCAGTCCTCGTCGTTCCAGTCATGCAAGACATGCTTTGATTTTTAGACGAAAAAACTCAGCAAGATCAAAAGCACAGGGTCGCTCTGGCATGTTTTAATGCATGGTGATGTAAGGGTTATATATAATTTAGGAGGATTATATATATATATACGACCTTGAGCAGCACAGCGTCAGCAGGAGGGATCGAACTCATCATATCACCTACTATGTATTGAACGCCATCACACGGCTGGATGTCACCGATCACGTGGGAGAGGTCCAACACCGAGCACCTGACATGAGGGAACGCCCTTACAATGGCCCTCGCCGTGCTGCCGTTACCGCCGCCGACGTCGACCAGCGTGCCTACGCCGTCGAACACCTCGCCGCACCGAGTCACCACGAAGTCCAGGGTGAGTTGGCTGTCGGATCCCAGCCCGTCCATGAACACCTTGTTAACCTGCGGGTCGCGGCGCCACGCGTCCCACTGGTCCGTGCCGTGCGCCATCCTGAAGGGCGTATCGTCATCGTCCCGGCCGCCCTTGAACCACTCTGACAGGTGCATGGCCGCCCCGACGTGGTACCTGTTGGTCTGGGCGAGCACGAACGGCGCGAGGCTGGTGCACCCGTTGGCGCGGTTGTCGTCCAGAAGGAGGCGAGACAGCGGCGTGAGGCGATACACGCCGCTGTCCCCTGTGGCGACGGGGGCGTCAAGAGCGAGGACGCCTGTCACGACGAGGAACCTCACGAGGCGAGGCAGGTAGGGCTTCCTGGCTTGGGGCACCGGAAGGTTGGCGAGAAGGTCGGGGAGAGAGGCGCGCCGCCGCTGCGGTGGATGGCGTTGGGGATCCCGAGCTCGACGGCGCACTGCAGGGCCATGGACTTGAGGTAGCTGTAGGTGAGGTTCCAGAGCTCGACGTGCGCCTGCACAAGCTCTGGGCTCGAGGAGGCCGCCATGCGTGATTCGGTCCTGGATATGTACTGCCTGGATCCTATATATTGTGTGTTGTGTTCAGATGTGGCGCTGTGGAAGTAGCGCGAGTCCCCCATGCCCATTTATAGTATAATATAAAAGCTTGGAAGGATCACACCATGACATGATTATGCAATATCTCAGACACCTGATTATGCCCACGTTTTTTGTCGTGCAAAATTTGAGCCGTAAATGTGCCTATCGCGCGCGCCTTATCTTGTCCGGCCTTATCAGCTCCTGTTTTTCTCTCCTCTTGGCTTATGACGTGCTGGCATTCTTTTATTGCTGCATTAGTAGAACAAGCTAGGGGTGGCGCTCAGCTGCGCGCAGTAGTGCTGACGTCGAAAAAGCAGCACCTTTGGCGCTGCTGGTGCTAATTCATATAACCATAGGGATTCGATAGTAATTTTACATAATATAGCATTTAAAAGTGCGATTACAGAATAACCCACGGCCTAAAATCGAAACCTCTGCAACCAAAGCATGCTAATAATAGGAACATGTAATATAGCGGACGCATAGTAGCCTTTTTGAAATTTTCTTAGTGGCGAGCACAATTTGGGCTGAGGCCCATTCGGCCTTGTGGCCTGCTCGTCCAGGCACTGCCCACCTGGGCCTCCTCCTTGATGTACATCCCGTTTGGCCTGTTAGGGAGATCGGATATAAAACGGCGGTCGGTTAGGTTAGGGGTCCCTAACCGGTGCCCTCGGCAATTTTTTTTTTTTTTAACACTTTATAAACTAATTTTAAATCTAATACTGTTTAATTTTTTTTCTTCTAAATCTAATATTTTTGGCCGCGCCTATTGTCATGACGCGGCGAAATGTTTGTGCCGCGCCATGCATGGTAGCACAACAAGAGGATGACGTGGAGACGACCAAAACACTGACCGATGACGTGGCAGAATCTGCCGCGTCACCGATCTTAACACGAAGCTGCCGCATCATCCTCACGGTGCGTTAGTGGCATGTAAATATCGCCAATCCAGCAAATCCTCTGGGGCCGATAGAAAAACAAGTTGGCTATGGAGTACTACCTCAACTGACCTGAAACATTGCGCTAAGGTGTGTTTAGTTGCGCTAAACTGTCCTGCGTGCTAGGTGTAGCAGAGGAGGAGCGGATGCGTACCAGAGGAGAGCCTGAAAAGACAACATGACAGGACGATGCAAAGCTCAGGGCTGGCATTGCCTGCCTTGTCAGGGCGATGCTTGACTGCACGGGCAAGGCTGCAGAGAATCCAGCGACGCCACGACAAAATCCTGATGATTCCTGAGTAAAAGAACACACAAAGCACAGACTTTTCAGTTACAGCATGTGAGATCATCGGAACGAAAAGAGCACCAAAAAGGTTAGCAAACACGGCACGCACTGGCAGCTATTCGTCGGTGCAAAATATAACCGATAAGTAAATATTTAAAGTTTTATTAATATTTAACAAGTTATCAAGTTTAAAAAAGTATTTAACATGTTATCCGTGGCTAAATAATTTTTCTCACTACTGCTAGTATTTATCAGTGGTAAAAATCTTCTACAGCCACCGGACACACAATTAGTGCTCAAATAAAATATTATGGCAAGGCCATGTTCGGCTTACTCCATATTCGGTTTGTTCAGCTTCTTTTTTCAGCTGGAACAGTGTTTTTCTTTCACAATAATTCAGCCAGAACAGTGTTTTTCAGCTAGTTTCAGTCAAGTTTCAGACAAGTGAACGGGGACTTGCTAGCTTAGTTAAAATAGTCCCCATGCATCAGCCCCTTATTAATACATCTATCCTCTAATCTTATTCATTAAACACACATACCACATAAAGCCTATCTAAGATGGTCCCACGTGTTAGTCCACAGTCTACCTCTTTCTTCTACGATTCTTGAAGACACAATATATAGCCATCTACAGTCTTTGCTTCTTCTACGAGTAATTTATCTAGGAAATTTAACCATATATTAAAAGTATCACCTGTCCGTAAAGGTGTTGAACACGAGCGCGTCAGCTTTGCTCCCGTCCGGATGTGCACGTGTGCTGACCGGAGGCACGAAGCAACGGATCGGCGGCCGTAGGGGTTGTCTAGAGTTTAAGCGATAGTCACGGATTATTGAGTTCTGATGTCTGGACTACGTTATCTACGTGCAAAAAAGTAGGAGATTCTTGTTCTATTTTCTTTTTCTTTCCATTTTTATGGTGAACATTAATACCGATGAATACATGGCAAGCAGCCTGGTTATTTATTAAGGACCCGATTTTGTATTTGTTTAAGATGTAAAGCACATTAGTCATCGAATATGAGTGAGTTATTTGTAAAAAATATTAGCCAATATGTGGTTCGAGTGTTGATATTTGGCTTGATCTTTAGTAATACAATTATGTATTCTATATTATTTTATAAATATTTAATATATGATTTAAATAATCAATTATTTATGATTTTTATATATTTAACTATAAGTTTAACAATTTATTTGCAAGTGACAATTTTATATACTCATACTTTAGTCATGACTTGTTTAATGATATTGTTCTTTCAAAACTATGTGCAAAAAGGCAGGCACATGATATTAACTAAGCCAAGTAAATTTCTAAATGCGAATTTGAATCTGAGCCATTCATTTTGTATTCATATTCAAGAACATTCGAATCCATATTTGTATCTGACAAAAATATTGTTAGCGGCGGAGCCAAGGAGGGCTGGAAGATGCTTACATGCATACAAGCACACTCATCTAAATGATTCACTACGGACGTTGATTGGTTGCTTTGGTGAGGGGGAGCTGGGATGGAGAGCTGGTCCAGGATGGTGAGATGCATGCTCAAACTGTGCACTCAGTCGTGTTTGGTTGTCTTTGTTGTTGGTCCAATATAAGATGACATCTTGTTTGGTTGCATGCATGGATGTGAGTTTTGAGTGCATGACACATGGGTCTTAGGCCATGCATCGTACCACACCATCCCGGCTCGAATGGGAAGCTCGATTTCTGCATACGCTGCAAGCCGGCACCAGGGGCCTCAAATGCACGGTTCGGTGCATCGATTTCGTTCGGCACATGGAACCAAACACAGAGATAGTGCATGACATGGTGCCAGATGGCGCTTTGGACGGCTCCATCAGGGCTACCAATCACGCCCTACATCGATGACTAACGCGGGTGGCCAAGTTACACCATAAGAACCTAAACAGATGAGTTACACTAAGTTCACATTTATTGAATATCTTTGCTTGACCCCTCTCTCTATATATATATATATATATATGAGCTACGCTCAATTCTTGGCCTCCCATGGATGTCTTTTTATTTGTTGTATTGTCTATAATGTTAAACTCAATATGTGGAGTTAGTTAGACTTTGTAGGAGTAATATTTTTAGAGGAGCGCGCGGCCACGAAAAGGCTGTCAGTGCGTGCTGTGTTTGCTAACCTTTTTGGTGCTCTTTTTGTTCCGATGATCTCACATGCTGTAACTGAAAAGTCTATGCTTTGTGTGTTCTTTTACTCAGGAATTATCAGGATTTTGTCGTGGCGTCGCTAGATTCTCTGCAGCCTTGCCCGTGCAGTCAAGCATCCGCCCTGACAAGGCAGGCAATGCCAGCCCTGAGCTTTGCATCGTCCTGTCATGTTGTCTTTTCAGGCTCTCCTCTGGTACGCGTCCGCCCCTCCTCTACTACACCTAGCACGCAGGACAGTTTAGCGCACTGTTTCAGGTCAGTTGAGGTAGTACCCCGTAGCCAACTTGGGGCCATTGCCAAATTTTTTTTGGCAAAACGATAGTGTAGCGTTTTCGTTGTTATTTGACAATTAGTATCCAATCATAGTCTAATTAGACTTAAAAGATTCGTCTCGTGGATTTCGTCTAAACTGTGTAATTAGTTTTATTTTTTATTTATATTTAATGCTTCAGGTATGCGTTCAAAGATTCGATGTGACGAGTAATCTTGAAAAATTTGGTATTTTGGGAGGGTGCTTTTCTCTCGGCCCCAGAGGATTTGCTGGATTGGCGATATTTACATGCCAATACAAAGATGTTTTGACTATGCAGGTGGAACATGGATGGGGATCATCACAGCCACAGCACTGCAATGCAAAGGCCCCAGATCGGCGGACCGCCCTAAGAAATATATGCATATCAAAGCGTCGGACAAACTTTCCAGTCAATCATGTCATCTCTCTCACCTAGCAAACAAAAGTTTTACCACCATGCATGGTGCGGCATAGATCATTTTGCCGCTGGAAAGGCAATAGACGCGCCAAAAAAGTGTTAGATTTGGAAAAAAAAATTAAATAGTGTTAGATTTAAAGTTAGTTTACAAAAAGTATTAAAATTAAAAAAATCCCTCGCCACCGCATAGCAATCATCATCTGCTCCACCTGCCAAGGCATCTCTAACCAGCTCCCCTCACCACCACAGCCTCCACGGGTTGTTTTCGCCGCCTCCCAAATGGCAAATCCTTGGCAACGTATGGTGCCTCTACACGCCCCACCCCCGTCCTCCACGCCACCACCCGCCCCATGCCCCAATCGCCGCCGCTTGGCGACACCAAACTACCTTAATAAGAAGAGCCTCAATAATATGTCAACCCATCATTTGTCCCCAAGCATGGGGTTACTTTCACTGTCCCGACCTCGCCCCCCCACCGGCGCCGCCTTTTATCATAGGTCCCATGTTTAGAGGGAAAAATGTTAGAAAACATTAGAATGCTACGCCCATTTAATCACCACAACGCAAACAAAGGCGGGCAGACAACGATGACCCGGCGAATGAGCCGGAGCACCTCGAGGAGATTGGAGGAGTAGACCTCCCTCATGTTCGCGCTTGATCACGCCCGCTTTTTTAGAATGACTTTGCCACATCGCCGCAAACAAAAGTGGGTTTCTCCCGGCGCGCGCTCGCTCGCTCCGTCCTCATCCACCACGTCTTGCACAGGGAAACCAGGCCCGCAGATGGGCCAACATTACAGGCGTCTATTGCCACATAGGCGAGAGCCGTGGTGTCCAC